AGTTGTCATTTAGTTAAAATTCTGTTTTTAAAATGTACTGAACTGCTTCTTGCGTTTGTTTTCCCGACCAGCTACAGATACAGTTTGAACTGCTGCTACAGAAAATAAACCACAAATAAATCTCAGTTTCTCTCACGCTGCTCAAAACCCAAACTGTTCACAGAAAGAAACACAGAATGTAGGTACAGTAGATCATCACCGACATGTTTTAAGTCGTTTGTTTTATTTTGCACGCCTTCCAGGCCTAAACTGACCCAGGAGCAGGCAGGGAACTGACTCTGTGCTGTTTCTTCTTTCCCCAGAACCACAGCGTTTGGCTTCCTCAACGCCCTCTGCAAGCTGGCGGCCGTGTTAGGAATAAGCATCTTCACCTCGTTCGTTGGCATCACCAAGGCCGTGCCCATCCTGTTCGCCTCGGGGGCGCTGGCAGCTGGCAGCTTCCTGGCCCTCAAACTACCAGAGACGCGAGGTCAGGTGCTGCAATAGTGTGGCGCCGACAACTTTCCAGAGCAGGGGTCGGGGGAGGAGGAAGAGTTTAAGCCACACTGTGAACGAAGAGCTCAAGAGCCCTCCGAATCCTGCCCTCCATCCCCTCCCCCGAACATTTAGCGTTATTTGGTAGATTAGCGATTAGAAGCCGTCAGCTGATTGAGACTGATCATCGACGACTGCTCACAATTGGAGCAAAACGAGACAAACACATAATATGAGTAGATGTTTCCCCCCTGATGTAAGACGCTCACATGTGGGGCTGGAGGTCAGCGGATGGGGGCTCTTGATGCCGAGCCATGCTAACAGACTCATAGAACCGGCCACTAGCCATCGTACAGACTTCTCTGTAGTCACCTCCATTCTTCTCAGTTCAACTCACCGTCCAAGTCTTGTCATTGTTGGACTCAAAAATGCAACATTTTCTGCCTCGATTTGAAGCATTTTTGACTTTGCGGGGTGAAACCAAGACGCTGCTCTCTTGGCTTTCTCTTGAACAAAGGCGTGTCCTCATCCTTATCTCCTGAGGTCCTGTGTTGGTGTACAGACTAACTGCCATTTTATAGATTATAGAACATTCCAGGTTTGCTTTTGTTACTGTTTTGCTGCGATAAGGAGATCAGTCGAGCCCCTCTCTCCCTTTATAGCACCGATCACCTCCGAGCAGATCGATCCAATCAGAGAGCGGACGAGGGGAAGTGTGCGTGGCGTCGCGAACGCCATTTCATCAGAGAGATTTGTAAAGCACAGCCATTCGCAGTGTGAGCGGACCGAACATTTCCATGGTGAAAATGTTCAGAGTCTCGCACTGAGTCACTGTTTTCAATCACGCCGTGTATCCCTTTGTGAGAAAATGCCTTTTTTTAGTCCTTTCTCCTCTCAGCCTTGTCGTGTGTTTGTCTCTGTGTCGGAGGATGTTCTGCATGTCACACAGTATGTATGTAACTTCATGAAAAGCTGAGTGCAGACATGGAAACAGCGTTCGCTCGGCCATGAGCTGCTCTAGTATTTTGCCATTTTTTACCCATAAACAGTTCATTTTTCCTGCCGCTGATGAACCTTCCCACAACGTTCTCAGAGCACACGCAGCAAAAGGATATCAGAGTTAAAATCCATCTGTCCTCGTCTGAACTTCTGATTGCGTGGAAGACGAGTGACCCAAACGGTTTCAGTGCTGGCACCAGCTGTGTTCGGTGTGTAAGCTAACCTTCAAACGACTATAATCTAAATACCTGTGTGAACTGAATGTTTATATTAACGTGAGCGTGCTTCTTAGTGCAATATTGAACCTCTGTGCAATATTGAGATTTCATTTCTATTTATTTATTTTGTCTTTTTGCCATTTCACAAACGCTGTTTTCACCTGGATGTGGGCTAGCTGTGTCATGTAGAAACAAACGTGGTGTGAAAACAGACTGGACATGCTCAGCTCGCCTTGTTGCTCTAGAAATAAGAACGTTTGAAAGATTAGAGCTAAAGTTCTGCACCCAACGTTCTCCTGTTTTGCTAACTGAGGTTCTGTCTGTCTGTTGAACACGTGACAGACTGAACAGCACAGACGACCTACGAGCAGGACGGTGGTGCTGATGGGGTGAGTTTGCAGTGCTCTGGGACCGTGTGTTTATTTGTGCTGTATGATGCAGATGTAGCCGAATGACGTGATATTCACCGTAGAGAACTCACTGCCAAGGGCTGATTGTCATATAATCCACACAGGTAACAGCACAGAGTGTCGGTGGAAGTGATTCCCCTCATTCAAGGAAAGTAACTCTGATATGTTCACAATTGCACGTTAAAAGTCAAACAATCATAGACATCCCAGATTAACAAAAAAACAAAGAATGTTTTTGTCCAAACTGCCATTTTGTAGGATAGCAGCCATACGTAGACTCAGAATAAACAGACAAACCATTGCACTACGTGTACACGGTCGTACATGCACAATGCGAACGCCTGGAGTTCTTCAAGGCCCGTCCGGATGCAGCCTTGCTACCAACGTCATGAAGAACAGCGCTTAGCAAGAGCACAAATCTACCAAATGACAATTTTGTGAACACGAGTGCAATTGTGAACGTACAGCAGGTGCTTTGCGACTTCCACAGCCCTCCACCAGGAGCCCTTCTACATTTCACCTTCTCATTTTCTGCAGATTTGACGTGGATCCATTATCTGAGTGTGCCATGAGTACCACCTCTCATTGATTATTGCCAAATATTTTGTATGGCCTGAGTTTACACATTATGCCACCAATTCTCTGTTATACATATGAATATATGTAAATAAAATACCGACAATGTACCTATTAAGACAGCTTTTCGACACTGCAGTCAGTCTTTGCGTTGGTCACGTGAAGCACCTGGACTCGCTGCTGTATATGCTGACGAGGACTTGTTCCCACAGCTCATGTGAGAACCTGTCTCTCAGAGTCCACGTGCTCTTTTATGAAACTGCAACAAATCCTGGCTTCAGCAGCCAAAATGGGCAGCGAGTCAGAAGGTTAAAGTCTGCCAGATCCCCTCTTAAAAGCACAGTGATAGTAAATAAATAAATGCACATTAACTGTACAAATATAGACGCGTTAGCTGTCCTATTCCCTGTATGTTGTCCTACATCACCCATGACATGAAGAGCAACGATGTCAAGGTATCTGTCGTACTTGTTCAACATGGAATGCTGTTGAAACGCTAACGTCTCAGTGACTCAGTTCAGGCTCCGTCCAAGTCAAGATTGTCTCTCGTAGATACATATCTTAGCTTATGTTACAGGGTTTTTTTGTATAATTAACATGTTGCCTTTGAGCAACAGTCAATCGTGAGTGCAAAAAGTTAACAAAGCAATAAGTGTTTGGGTATTTGTGTCTTATTCTCTCCTTTGAAGCTACTGGGAGTCGGAGCACATGACCACATGCTGGCCTCGCCACTGAAACGCTGAGTGTTGGCGTAATAATAACGACAGAACTAAACGGCTAACATTCGTGTGTACTCTCTAAAACAACCCTAGGTCTTGAGGCTTTTGTCAATAAAATTGCATTGCCATTAATTAAATGTAACAAAGAATTTATCACCTTTGTCACTGTACTGTGCTGTAGAAACTGTAGTTGATTGTTTGTAAGTATAGAAACTGTGGAACCATAAATCTAAAAGTAAAAAGTTAAAAAAAAGAAAAAAAGAAGTGTAAATGAACAATGCTGTATGTTGTCTTTGAGTTTGTGTATTTTGTAAATGACAATGAAATATAAGTAAATACATCAATGTTAAAAACCGGTTATGAATCATAGTTAGACTCAATGTGGCAGCATCACTTCTGTTCAAAGGTGTGTGAGATTTTTTCTTATATTTTCTCATTGTTGGTTTTTGACTGGGTTTGCTGTGACCCTTTGGAACCACAATGGACAACAAAGAACCGTGAAGAATAAACAAGTGGAAAGAATTCATGCAAGTCCGTCTCGGCCATTTCTTTAAGGCTCTAAATGTTCTTTTGTTTTCCTGTTAACTGTAAAAGAACAGCGTGGTGGATCAGTGGTTAGCACCGTGGCCTCACAGCTAGAAGGTCACTGGTTGGCGTCCCGGTGAGGACACCCGGGATCTTCCTGCGTGGAGTCTCCATGTTCTCCCCGTGCAGCGTGGGTTCTCTCCGGGTTCTCCGGCTTCCTCCCACAGTCCAGAAACATGCTGAGGTTAATTGGTGATTGTAAATTGTCCGTAGGTGTGAATGTGAGTGTGCTTGGTTGTCTGTCTCTAAGTGTAGCCCTGTGATAGACTGGTTACCTGTCCAGGTGAACCTGCCTTCACCCTGATAATGGATAGAAGGAAACTACATGAACAGAAATGCAAAAAAGAAAAAGAAAAAAAAAGTGTCATTGGAGCATGTATTTATCAACTTGAAAACTTGTCCTCATAATTATGGTCTTTAAGTACATAACTAACACACAAAATAATTAACTTAACCTAACTTAGTGTGGTCTGTTGGTTGAATATGAGTGTTGCCTTATTTTTGTTTTTTTTAAATTTATTTTGTTGAGTCCAATCATTATTATTATTATTTATTATTTATTTTTTGGTTTGCATTGGCTGAGGACTCCCCAACATGTTACGTATTAGGGTCCGAGCACTAACGGTGCAAGGACCCTATTGTAATCGTTGTGATTATTATTATTTATTATTATTATTATTTTACCGACTTTTGAAACGCGTTTTTGAGGGCCCAAACATGCTCGAAAACTCACCAAAATCGACACACACACCAGGACTGGCGAAAAATTTGATATTTTAAGGGACTTGGACATGTCACTGCCAAAATGGCTCCACAGCGCCACCTTCAACATTTCAATAGAGTCCTATCGGAAGCACGTATGACCTACAGCTACGCTATTTGGAACGCATATACAGCTGGTCGGCACAAACAAAAACGTCTCTCTGCTCCCAGGTCTAAAATGCAACACGGCTCAACTGCGCCCCCTACAATATTTCAACATCGTCCCATCGCGGCTACGTGTCACCTACAACTACGACATTCGCCACATGTGTAACAACTCGTGACGCACAAAAAAGTCCATTAGCATGTTTCTGTAAACCCAACAGGAAATCTGCCATGTTGGAAAAACGGCGAGCATGGTGGGCCAGTTTTGCTGAAAAATGGCCATTTTTGGCCATTTTCTAAATCGAACTCCTCCTAGGGGGTTCATCGTACACACCTGACATTTGGCAGGCACAAACTACATGACGTGGTGACTAAAAGTTCTTCAAA